TCTGCCCGGCGCTGCCCGTCTGCCTGGCACGGGTGATCCTTCGTGTGGGCTCGGAGTTAGCAGCCGAGAACTGGCGGAGGCGTTTATCCGAGGTTAAATCCTGAAGTATTAATGCTTTAGCTAACCATGGCTTTTTGTTTAATAACAGGCTCGTAGTGTTGTTTTTTAAAATGATGATGAACTAAACTGGAAAAAAAAAAGTTGAAGGAAAGCAGATCTAATATATAGGCCTCACCTGGCCTTCAAGTCAACTACATTTTAGCTACCATCTTTGTGTTTTAGAGTTTTTTTCTACTTTCTTAGTACAAGCTACTTTGGGAATGCAGTTTTGTTATGTTTGGGAAAGCTCTTTGATAGTTTAGTGCCCAAATCAAAGACTCCAGGTTTTGCTTAAAATGGTGTTTGCAAAAGTAGATGAATATTTATAGGTACACATAGTCTGTTTGGTTTGGATCTAAATGCAGTTTGCTCAGATATGTAACTCATGTTGCAACCTGAAATTTTAAGGCCATTAGTTTTAAAAAGGAAAAAAAAAAAGAAAGCACAACACTCCCCTGACTCTGAAGGGTCTTTTGAACAGTGCAAGTCTGGACAGAAATGAGTAACAAATAGCTATATTTTAAAGAATAAACCAGATACTGAGATTTCTCATTAAAATTGCCTGAATTGCTGTGTTACATTTATTAGGTAATGTCTGCGTGATGGGTTACATTAATTGTGAATGGGTGCCTTTTCCTATTGTCACCAAAAAGCTGACCATGTGCTTTGGTTAGAAAAAGACTTCATGATGAGTAGTGGGGCTCAGGGGTACCCCTTTTTGCTAGCTGGCTAGAAGATCAGGAAGAGGAGGTTGCCTTCTGGGTCCGAGCTGTCATTTTTGTGAACGCTTGTGCTCAGGCAGGCTTTGTGCCTTTCTGCCAGGAGCCCGCGTGTTCCCCGCCCGGCCCCCGGGGCCGTCAGGGTGTGATGGCAGCACAGCTCCGCTTGGCACCAGCGGCACCAGTCAGGGCAGTTTTCTGTCACAGCCCCTGCGTGCCTGCGAGGGAGTTCGCTAGTGCAGCGAACCCACCAGAAAGTCATTGAGCAACCGCAGCAAAGCTTTAAGCCAGGCGTTGGGCGGGAGCTGCCGCCCGTGGCGTACGTGCCAGCCTGCTGACTTCCGTGAGGCTCTTGTCCAAAGGGGTGTTTCTAGTGTTAGCCCCTTGGCTTGGAGGGGTTCCAGCACGGCTTAGGAGTCGAGATAGCGGGGTGGCACAGCAGATGTGCCTCAGCCTAGCCATAGTCACGTGCCAGTGCTGCGTGTTGGAAGGACAGGGGAGGTTGTTCCTCTGAATTCATGGTCTGAGCGAGAGAGAACTGGGGGCTGGAGCGGGGCACAAGTAGGACTTGAAATAAATGGATCAAGTTGTCTATAAGGCAAAGGTTGATTCTAGTACAAGAAATAGCGAGACTGCAGACAGTGCAGTGGTAGCTAATATATTGTGACCTGGAGTACAACAGCCAACTTTGGGATTGGTTATTACATAAAGTACAAACAAATGCAAAGTTGAGGACAATAGTAAATGTCTTACCAAGTGAGGGCAGAAATATTATGAGCTTTTATGCCTGAAGCAACTCAGAATTAAGTTTATATATCTAAAACATTAATAATAAGAGCTGTGAAAGTGTACATTTGAAGTCTGAAGATCCTTAACTTGCCATGGCATTATGTAATAACCATTTGCTTTAATTATGTGGGATGTATTCTATTACAGTTAAACAGATTTTTAATGCACGATTCTTCTCAGCAATATGTACAATGTCTTAAGGTGTTTAACATAATTTGAAACTGTTACCCAACTTCAGTAATTTAAACAACAGGGTTTCTTAGGCGTGGTTTCTCCCTACATCAATTACTCAGTCTTGTTCTACACTGAGGGTTGGTCTTCAAACCAGCCAAAGCAATTGGGTGAATCAGTCAATTCGCTTTTTCTTGTGTTGTTCACTGATTTTAAAAAAAAGGGAATTTAAAAATCAAGATGTGTCATGTTTATGCTGTATATGATTAAAAGGAATTATTTATCACTAAAACTTTTTTTTTTTAATTCTTCTTCCAGGACTTCAGTGATTCTGGACTGCTGTTATTGAAATGATATTCCAGCAGTCAACGATTGGATTGTCTTTGTTGCATGAAACCCAAATATTTACTCTCAGTCAAGCGGGTAGAAGCCCCCAACTGCAGTTTACATGTGTAGGTCACTGCGCTACTGTGTGAGTCATTGTCTCTACGCAGCAATGACAAGGCTAGAGGAAGCAAACAGAGAAGTGAACATGCATTCATCAGTCAGATACCTTGGCTATCTCGCCAGAATCAACCTGCTGGTTGCCATTTGCATGGGCCTTTATGTCAGATGGGAAAAAACTGCGGATGCGCTGATTTTGGTAATATTTATTCTGGGGCTCTTTATTCTTGGAATTGCCAGCATACTGTACTACTATTTTTCAATGGAAAAAGCCAGCTTGAGTCTCTCCAATCTTTGGTTTGGTTTTCTGCTTGGCCTTCTCTGTTTTCTTAATAATTCTGCCTTCAAAACAGACATGAAAGAAGAAGCTACTAAATATTTGCTCCTCTCTGCCATTGTCTTAAGGATATTATGTGCTTTGGTTGAGAGGATTTGTGGTTGTATCCATCATCGACCGACTTTGCTGACAACAGTTGAATTTTTGGAGCTAGTTGGATTTGCAATTGCCAGCACAACTATGCTGGTCAAAAAATCTGTGAGTATTATTCTGTTGGTCATTGCTTTGGCCATGTTGATTATTGACTTACGTATGAAGTCTTTTTTGGCAATTCCAAATTTGGCCATTTTTGGAGCCATTGCATCCTTACTCTTTTTTCCATCGCTGGAAATCCCCACGAACCCCTTTGCCTTGGCGTGTTTCTTCAGCTGCTTGATTTCAGATCCCCTTCTCGACGTTTACTTCAGTGGACTTTCAGTTACTGAACGGTGGAAGCCCTACTTGTTCCGTGGTAAAATCTGCAGGAGGTTTTCTGTCATCTCCGTTGGAGTCATTGAACTGATTTTTTTCATTCTTGCAGCTTTTAAACTGCGTGATTTGGATCTTTGGTATTTTGTGATACCCGGGTTTTCTATTTTTGGAATTTTCTGGATGATCTGTCATGTGATTTTTTTTATAACTCTGTGGGGATTTCATACAAAACTAAATGACTGTCACAAGGTGTATTATACCCACCGTGCAGAGAACAACAGCCTTGACAGAGTTATGGCATCGAAAGGAATGCGTCACTTCTGTTTAATTTCAGAGCAGCTAGTATTTTTCAGCCTTGTCGCCACTGCTGTTCTGGGGGCTGTTTCTTGGCAGGTAAATAATAATAATAATAATCTCTTTATCTCGATCTTCCTCTTGAGAAAGCTCCTGAGAAGTGTTGGCTTCTTAAAATTACTGTGACATTTGATGTTGGGCTGTGGTTCAGCAACAAAGTTGGAACCCTTGTCTTCACCAGCACACTCGTTGGATGTAATGCTTCGTGCTGCCTTGTCTGTGACCTGGCAGCTGGGACTTACCATCTTCCTTATGTTGGCAGAATGGGAAGAGTTAATGCTTCCAGGGCAAAAGAATCGTACAAAGTGTTTTAAGTTTGTCTACTTAGAAAATGATACATAATTATACGATATACAAGTCAGAAAACTGGCTTTCAGGGGAAATCGCGGTGTTGAACCCTGGTAGTACGTGATGTGTTGAGGGCTTCTCTTATGACTGTTTTAATTGAATCAAGGCAAATTCATGTTTTAAGAATGTAGTTTTCAATAACTTTGTTTTGTATTTAGCCATTAACATACCATTAGCAGTCAGCTGATAAACTGCTAAGTTGTCAGTTGTCAGGATACCCTGTGCTTGAAGTGTCATTTTTAAATCTGGTTGTGCACCACAGGATACATTCCAGTTCTTAAAATCTCAACAATCAAATCTCAGTCGTTGACTTTTCTTCCCATGTCTGAATTAAAGACATAAATTTTCTGCTAAAAAACAGACAATATTTTTCTCAAAAATATTTGTTCAGTGCCCAAGTTAGAGTATGTTCTGTTGTCACAGTTGCAGCAGGGTGTTTGGTGTTTATTGCCTTTTCTAAATTGGTCTAAAACAAGACAACAATCACTTCTGTACCTATGCATGTCTTCCATGAATTACGTATATTTAATAGCAATATATGAAGGTTAGATGTTACCAATGGCACATGCAGAAATATCTTTATAGTTTTCCAAACAATTTGCTTGACCTTCCTTCAGATTTTGTTAGCTTAAATAACTTTGTGGTTGCAAGGTGTTAAAATTGCTCAGTGGAAAAGGGAAGTGACAGTTATTTTGTGAGGTTTTGTGTGTTGGATTTTTTATTTGTTTTGGTTTTGTGATTTTTGTTGTTTGTTTGAAGTGGATTTTGGGGATTGTTTAGTTTTGGGAGTTTTATTTTTTTGGAAGGTTGTTTCATTTTTTTTTCTTTTTTTTTTTTTTTTTTTTTTACATGAAGAGCATTAGAGGTTAACAGACAAGCCTGGGAAGAAGGTTGGGTTAGTTTTTCTTTGGAAAAGTTCCAGCATGCATAGATAGATAGAGTGTGCGAGGTTGCAGAAAGGCCAAAAAAAGAAAGAAAGAAAATCAGAACAAAGCAGAGAAGAAAAATACAAAAATGAAATGACATAAAGGAAAGATGCTAGTGCACCAAAAGAAATGGCAAAGTAGTTTGGAAGACACAAACAGTAAAGGTGGGATACCAGCCTACTAATGTTGCTAACTTCTGTACTTTTTCTTCTGATAATTGTGGTCCTATCAAAATGCTAGTTTTTAATTTTTATATGCTAGATTACTTGTTTTTCGATAAAAGCAATTTTTTTGCCATCTCTATCAGATCATCTTACTGATTTCTCTGTCCTTTCCCTCCTCCTTTAACATCCAGAGACACCTTAGTTAAAAATTACATAGTTTAACAATTACTTGGATGGAGTGGGAAGGAGTCAGAACACATCAAATGCGTGAGTTTTCCAGACAGTCACTGCAGAGAGGTGGTTTTGGTGGTGCCCAGAGCCTGGCTGCAGGGGGGTAACCACCACCCCTGGACAGGGTCTCCTGCCAGAGCTCTTCAGGGGAAGGACTCGCTCTCCCCTTGCCATCTGTTTAAGGCTGTGTGTGTAGGCAAAGAGGGCTGGATTCAGATCCATCTTGCAACTTTTTCCTCTTCACATGGATTGACAGTTCATTGTAATTTTTTTCTGTCTCAGTCCTCTACCCCAAAATAACAGCAACTGTTACGTGTCTGATAATTTTAATTCCTCTCTAATTCTGAAGTGTACTTGTGCTGTGGAATGACCTGTGCAGGGGTGTTCAGAAGAAGCAAACTAGCACTGCAGCTAAAATCTTAGTTTTTGTTACTACCTAATTTCACTTCCTAGTGTCCTGTGTGTAAATAAGTTAAGCCGTTGCTCATCACCTCTGTCTGATAGGTTGCGTATTTACCTGTTCAGTGGGAAAAGGAGTAATTGTAGTGGCAAAGGGAAAGGCATCAAATAAGAACAGCTTTCAGTTGTCAGAAGATTAAGGACTTTATTATAATCATTTAGTTTTAGTAGATAATTAGATTTACATTTACTTTACTGTTTATATTTCTTTCATCATATATGTATAGTAATCATTTAGATTAAGATTATGAATGCAGTTGTCTCCAACTAAGATAGTTCCTGCTTTAGAAGATGTGGTGTTTGCCTTATAAGATCACTGTGCTTATTTCATCTGTTGTCAGAAAATTACTTTTATTAGTCCTGACGATAACATAATGTAATAAATGGATGTATTGTTTATTACAGTGATTGTAGGAAACTGTGGCCTTTTCTGTATTTTTGCTGGATAGTGTCAGGTTTCAAAATAATTAGAAGAAAGTGATGATGCATAAGCTCACAATTTACCCTCTTGCAGGGCATTTGTCTTTTTTTTTTCTAGAGGTTTGAGAAACCTAGTGGACTTCCTTCTTTTAGGGAGATTCAAAGCCTGAAGACTCTGCTTTAGAATCCTTTGCTGGCCTTTTGAGTCTACTGTTTCAGGAGGTCTAACAAGCTCAGTAGTAATGCAGCAGACAAGCTTCTCCAGTGAATATGTACTTTCCTTTTGGTGATTTATATGTATTGTAGCAGTAAAAGAGACAAATCAGGCTGTTAGAGAAGACTCTCTGCCTTTCCTCTTTAAAAAGTAACACTTATTGCTAAATACTTAATGGGTTGGGATTTCAGGGTTTGGTTTGTTTTTTAAGAAACCTTTGCTGCAGAAATAAGCCAGTGACATCAGTATGTTATGGAAAGAGACCTTAGGTCTGTGTTAGATGCCTTTCCGTGAAAATAGCAGCTTCATGTTTATTAGTGGTCAAAGAAGCAAATTAAATACTGGGAAGTATTAGGAATGGCATGGGAGGTATCATTATGCCACTGTATAGATTTATGTCTTCCATATTTTGAATAACTCCAATTCTTACTTGCCATCCTATGGATAAGAAAACGAAGTTTCAGGGAAGGGTGACAAAATTCACTGTAAACATGATACAGCTTGCATGGAGGGAATGAATAAACAAGGATGCTTCAGTCAGGAAAAGAGAATATGATGAACATATGAAACACAGGTGGTGGTAAACAGTATGAGACAATAACCAATAGTTTCGGTGCAAAGGTTGAGGGGAATCAAGTTGGCAAGAAGCAGGTAGGAGCCAGATAGGTGGGAATAGTTCCTGAGTGAGCTCTGGGGCTGTGTGTCATGGCATGCTCTGTGCTGAGGGGTTGCAGGAGCTCAGGAGGAGGCTGGACGAGTCCATGGAAACAAATGCACTGAGGTTTGCATGCTGTGTGGAAACCACATCTGGCTCAGGAAGTCCTTGAGCCATCGGTGGTTGGAGTACTTGGGGAACATATGTGCTGGGTCTGTTCTTACAGTCTTTCCTAGGTATCCATTTGGCCTCCTTGGAGACAAGACATTCTTCTAGATGGACCTTTAGTGCAGCCTAATACAGCCACTCTTACAATCTTATATTATGTATTTTTTTAACTTAATTTTCAACATATCTTTTCCTTACATTCTTAAGAATGCCAAGTATTCATCTGTCACGAATTCCTGAAAACGTTTGCTTGTGTAAAAATTGTTCAAAACATTTTTCTTATCTGTAAGATTAACAGTTTTTAGTCTTCACAACTTCACTGTGGGATTTATGTAGTCATTTTAGTAAGTGCTAATTATATTTGAAATCTGTTAAGTGTCAACTGGGAAGGTGAAGCTGTTTTTATTTATACCTTTCCTCACTCTGAAGAGGTAATGAAAGCTTGTTTAATGATATGGCTTTTGATGAGAGGTGGCTTGAAATCACTTTCTGGTCTGCCATTTGACCTCCTCTATAATGAATAGAATTGGCTAAAAACCTAAGTCTTGGAAATGCACTTCCTAACAGCTATAAATAATTAGCCATAGCATGTAAAAAAAATCTAGCTGAGCTGTGCATGTTAGGTTATAGCCAGAAATGGGCTAGCGGAGGGGAGGGGTTGAGCTTCAGTGGAAAACTGTTACAGGCACATTATGTATCCCCTTTTAAGGTGTTTCATAACCATAATATCTGTGTTTCATGTAAATCTCAAGTGTAGGTCAAGACCTAAAGAGAAAGTTGTGTGCTAACTGGTGGCTAGAAGTATCCTGTTTGATTAAAGTTGCCAGCAAAATATCAACTCTCCTTCTGTGGAAGGGCCTTTAAACGGAGGTCAGCTGACTGGCTTGTTGCACACACTCTAGTTTTGTGACTCATGCAGAACTGCTGAGGCTGGAAGCCCTGTTAGCCAGGCACCTTTCTCTAAGGGGAGCCTGGCCCTTGCAGTAAGTAAGGGTTGAAAGTCTGTTCCTGCAGTGTCGGTATGTGCTTGAGAAGAACTGTGGCTCCTGAAAGCAGAATCTTCCTCTGACAGGTCAAGCTTTAAAAGTGGAGAGCACAGTCAGCAGGTCTGTCTGAAACTGGAGAGTGAGCTCAAGAAGAACAAGAAGTATAAAAATAATTTGCTAAAGCTGGTTTTATTCAAAAATGAAGTCTCAGCTTTTCAGCTGGGACATGGTCTGCTTCTGAGAAGAAGCCCTACTTTGGCTGGAATGGAAAAACACCTTGTTGGTAGAAACATATTGAAATTTACCTTGAAGTATCTTCAGGAGGTGGTCTGCACTTGTCTTTATGTCTGTATGAGTAATTTTGGTCAGATGGATAGACTCTTTAACTCCAGCTTACTCATTTCAACAATTACTCACGTGCCTGTCTGTAATAGGGCTCTTGGATGGGACAAGATCCAGCAGAAGTTGTCCAGATGACTCAGGCATTACTTCTTTCAGATGCCAATAGAACAATGAAAAATTTGCAGATGAAGGTCTTGAATTTGCAAGCAGAGATATTGGAAAGGTTTGGGGGACTCTTTTTCTCAGCAATGTAAAATCAGATTTTGTTAAGTGCTCTGTGCCAAGGTAACTACAGGTTTTCTGAATTACTGGCCAAAGAAAATTATTATCCCTGGAAGACCTGCATTTAATATCAGCAAGAGAAAAATGAACTATGTCAGAGGCAGGTGAAGTAATGGGATGAAGTACTTGCAGTACATTATTCTTGGTTTTAGTGAATTTTATGGGTTAGTAAAATAATAGCATTCATAATATGCTTGACTACTTGTAGTTAAATGGACAGGGCTACTGAACTTCAGTTAGTCATGGAAGAAAAGTTAATTCATTATATACGTGAGTAATTTCTTGTTTAGGGAGGGTTGGTGATTCTGTAGGCTTTATTGTGATGTTATGTGATTACCTGGTGTTTCTTGAAAGCTCAATTTACAATGCCTTAAAACTGAAGATGGTAACATTTTTAACTTCGTTAAAAATGAGATTGTTTTCTGCATAGGAAGAAGTTTTCTGAGTAACATCTATATGCACTTGCACACGCTTCTGCTAACATCACAGATTATATTATTTTTTTCAAAGGCAAATCATACCCAGCCTTTCTCCTTCATTTTACCAAGCTTTTTTTCCTGCCTTATATTTTCAATCCAGTCCTCCTCAGGCTTTGCTTGTCCAGTTTTTGGACTTTTTTTCTTTTTTTTTTTCCCCTTGTGGCCCTGCTGCATCCTCTGGCCTCGCTCCATATTTTCTCAAATAGCCATGCCACTCCTGCTTTTTCTTTTCCTTTCTGTCTAATTGTCTTTAATTCCCCCCTTTCTTTTCCTTACTGCTTTTTTCCCCTCCTGATTGACCTGACTTACATATCTGTACCTCACTGTTTTCTTTATAGACTCATCTCTTCAGCTTCTTTTATAAAGCCTTTATTCCCTCTTTC